TTTCAACTTACAATTCACCTGGAATCGTGTGTGTGTGTGTGTGTGTGTGTGTGTGTTTGTGTGTGTTATGAGGTAGAAATTAAGTTTATTTTTTTACATATCTATATCTAGACATAACCTAGCATCATTTATTGAAAGAATTATCTTTTTCCAATTGCTCTGTAGCACCACTTTAGAAACATAACATTAATAAGACGTAAGTAAGGAAAGGTAAAGAAAAAGAATATATTAGGCAGTTTTTATTGTTTTGGGCTGGCTGCAACCTGAGCTTCTTCCGGTTGTAGGCTCATACTCTTCAAAAGGTAGATTTCACATTCAATAAAGAAGTTGAGGCCAGTGCTGTGGCTCAAGCCTGTAATACTAGCACTTTGGGAAGGTGGGCAAATCACAAGGTCAGGAGATCACAACCAGCCTGCTCAAGATGATGAAAGCCCATCTCTACTAAAAACACACAAAAATTAGCCGGGCAAGGTGGCAGGTGCCTAAAATCCCAGCTACTAGGGGGGCTGAGGCAGAGAATTTCTTGAAGCCGGGAGGCGGAGATTGCAGTGAGCCGAGATCACGTCACCGCACTCCAGCCTGGGCGACAAAGCCAGACTCTATCTCAAAAAAAAAAAAGAAGCTGAAAATGCCAGACATATATTTGCTTATGAATAGGATGTGGGCACATGACTTACGTTTTGGTAAGCAATTCACTAAACAATGAGGCTTTAATAACCTTAAGAAGTGGAGACAACAATGGGACCTAGTCCGACAATGGGTGTCCATCACAGCAACAAGAAATAGGGTTGTGAGGATACTAATGTCCAAAGAACAGAGGTTGTATTTGGCAAACTGGTTACACTACAGAGCCATACAGGCATGAAGTTTTCAAAATCTAACTGATGATCACGATTACATCAGATAGATCTTGGTTTTGATTCTTGGTTTCACCATTTATTATCTGTGTTACCTTAGATTTTTCTAAATCTGATTTTTACTCATTTTAAAATTTGATGATGATAATACTTATGTTTTCAGTAGTTTGTAAACAATCAATGATGAAGATCTAAAACATCAAGCTCATTGACATGTTATACAGGCAAACCCAAAATAGCTGCTTAACAAATGATAGTCTGTTGGTCCAGATGCTAACAATGGGTTCAATTTTCTTTTATTGTTAAGAGAATTCTCACGGAATTTTTGCAGAGAAAAATCTTAATCCAATACGAAGAACTACGTGCCCTGTTCCTGGTCTTCAAAGTAATTAGGGTATAACATCACTTACAAGAAGCATGACAATGATTTAAGCAAACTCAGCCCAAATTTATTAGAACGATTGGACATAGCAGAACTGTCCTAGATGATTAGTAGTATTTTTCTTCACATATTGGTCAGAATATTGACTGAGGGCCCCAACTTAGTTTATCTGAATTTTAAAAATGTGAAGCAAATACTCTTATTGAAATAAAATGAATATCAGGTTATTAACTCAAATTAATAACTAAAGTCATTTTCCAATCTTACTAAATATATATGCAGGCAGAAAAAGAAACCTTTCTCTTTCTGTTTGTATCGTGAATGTATATATATGTATTTCATGTATGAGACAGAAATATTTAATAACATTGGAATCATGCTCTTTTAAAGTAAAATGTGTTCAATTGTACTTTAAATAAAAAGAGTTAAAGTGAAATTTCTGGAATTAATAGATTTCAAATAAAGGTAAAGATATAAAGATTTCCTCACCAGAAGAAGTATTAGTCTCTAACACTTAGGTTAATAAAAAGATTAGAAAATTCATGGAGTATGATTTTTTTTCAATTACACAATGTAGTTAAATTGATAATATAGGCTGATACATTATGAAAGCTAAGATGATTAACGAAGTGACCCTTTGTCCCATCTCTCTTTTTTGAGCCTCCTGATTTTGACTGAGGTTACTTCTACTGTGTTAGAAATTTTTATAACATTTATACTATATTTTAGATCTGTCATGTTTCAAGCATTCTATTTAATTTCTGTATTTTATGGTCAATGCTAATTCTTTTTTTGAGGAAGCGTCTTCATTTTCAAAATGTGTACTTGGATTTTTTTCTTGTTCATCAGTTTTTCAATTGCTTGTTCAAGAAGGCTCAGTGGTTTTACATGCTTTGGAATGTCTTCCCATTACTTTTCTTTTCTTTCTTTGAGACAGAGTTTTGCTCTGTTACCCAGGCTGGAGTGCAGTGGTGCAATACCAGCTCACTGCAACCTCTGCCTCCCTGGTTCAAGTTATTCTCCTGCCTCAGCCTCCCAAGTAGCTGGGATTACGAGCATGTACCACCATGCCAAGTTAATTTTTGTATTTTTAGTAGAGACAGGGTTTCACCACATTGGCCAGGCTAGTCTTCAACTCCTGACCTCAAGTAATCTGCCCACCTTGGCCTCCTAAAGTGCTGGGATTACAGGTGTGAGCCACCGTGCCTGGCCTGGGCCATTGCTTTTCTAGTGAAGTAATTATTGAATCATTACTACAACATAAAGCCAGGCTTTTTTTCCTCCTGAGATTTTGTGGATATTTTCCATTACTTTCTGATTTTGAATGTTACTTTTCAAAAGCCAAGTGTGAAGGCAAAGTGTTTTTTTCTTCCTTTTTCTTTTAATGCTGATTTGATTTTACTGCCTGGATGCTTCAAGAATTCTAACTTAATCTTTAAAATTTAGTAACTTAATGAGAATATACCTAGCTTGCTTATTCTGTAACAGCTTTCACACTGGAAGATATATTCTAAAATTTTTATTTAGTTTTATTCAAAATTTAAAGAAAAACTTTTGTATTCTTTCTCCATATGCCATTTCTTTCTTGTTTTTTCAAATGATTGATAGATGTCATTTATCTGCCATTTACATTCTCCAATTTCTTTTAATTTGCTTTAAGCTTTTTGTCTTTTTTTCTCTCTGCATTTACACATTTTAAGACATTTTCCATGTTGTAATTTCAATTTTTAACTTGTTTTTTTTCTGTTTCTAATTTACGTATTAAATCTATAATAAAAGAATTTTTTCTCATTTTTTCCCTTTAGCACTTCTGTTTCCCTAGTTTGTTTTATCATCTTGTCTTTGAGTTATTTTACTGAATTCATTTTCTTTTCCATTCTTTTATAGTGTGAAGTACTTGTGGGAAATAAATTCTGTTCTTTGGGTTGTGTCTTCTTGATGACTGGATTCTTCATCCACAAGCTAATTTTTTTTCAACTGTATTCTGTTGGCATTGTTTCTATGCCATGGATTTTCATTTGGTTATTGCTTAACAGAGGGCCTTGTCTGAAGTTTCTGTTATGACATAGTGTGGGTAACATTTTTGCCATAGTTCCTTTCTTTGGGAGAGTTGTTTGATTTGTTAATTTAGGTGCTACATTTTGAAGGTGTGATTGTCTGTTCTATCTGCTTTTCTGAAGCCTGAGGGTTCAAGGTTAAAAGAACTACAACCTTGTTCTGGACAATTTGCATTTAGCTTTCTCTCTGACATTCTGCAAATTTCTCCTACCAGGGCCTATTTCCATTGATGTTAGCTGTTTTTTTCATCTGAAGATGGTGAGTTCCAGTATCTGTTCTTGCCTTTCTGAGATTTTCTGTGCGTGTGTAGGGGCCTCAAGTATTGAACATCTTCCTGTGTCTTTCTGCTCAGCCCTCAGTCGCCCTCTCTCTAAGTTGGAGGACACCAGCAGCATTCTTAGAATTTCTTCCGCCCAACTCTTTTCTTTAGTAATGTTTTCGGAGAATGAGGATCTGCTGGCAGTCTTGTTGGATTCCATGGTATTTATTTACCGTACATATTGTGAACATTCATAGCACTTGCCATGAACACTTTGATGTATCTGATTATGTGGCACCACCTCAAACATACCAAGTGTAATGCAAAGTTTATACATGCATTTTAAAATACAAACAAATCTGAATTTCTGGCTTGTGTTCTGTTTCCGTCGCTTGACATTTACAGCACAAAGCTGCTTCCCCTCCCTTGTTTGCTGGGAAATTAAATTTGAGACTATTTATTTTTTCTTCATTAAAAAAATTATCTTAACCCAAAAGACTGAGCTATGATTTCATATTAAACTTTATATTGCAAGGCACAAAAACAAATTCAAAATAGGGAATTATAAAACCAAATGTATTCATTCAATGAAAGTTTATTTTTAACTATCTTGCCATTATTTACCGGAGACATAAATCTACCATATTTTAATGTAAAAATGAAATTGTCTTTCTTTTCTCAGCATTATTATAAAATAAGTGTTAAAATGGGAATTTCAGTGCTTTTTGAATGCATTCATGTATTTTAAAATTTTCCTATATTTTACATAACACCCTTGGAATAATATTATTTTGTGGCTTTTGATAAAAATATTTCTCCTCAATGAAATAAACCAGCCCTGCAATTCTTATAGCAAATACGTATAGTTATGCTAGTTTTATCTTTTCCCTGATGGGAAAGTAACAATTATCTATAAGGTATTTCAGCCTGTAACTGTGTTTTATCCTTCTATGAAGAACCCACAGATACACGCGCGCGCGCGCGCACACACACACACACACACACACACACCCCAAACAGTTTTTATATTACTATAATAATATAGCGAAATGTTTCACACTGGGTGCTATAAACTTTAACTCTAACAAAAGTAATGCAGTTTGAGAATCTTAACAAATTTCTAAGTGGGCTTGTAAAAACAGATTCTCAATACCTAAATCAGGATTACTGAAATGATTGCTGAAATGAGATGTTCTGTATTTCTACTGAGGAAGAAATATAAATATAATACAATTATTATATGAGATGTTTGAAAGAGAATATTTATTATCTCAACGTGTCTAGACCAAAAAAGATACATAAAAAATATATCTCAGTAAAAGTAACATATTTCAATTACAAAGAAAGCTGTAGTTTGTTTACCATATGAACATTTTCCATGAAATTAAACATAGTTTTTAAGAAAATTAAAACTAGAAAATTTGATTCAAATTGCATTTTCTTTTCAGGAGTGTGGACTATTCTCTCATGTTGAATGTGGCACTTTTCACATTCAACAGGAAAGCCACTACACCAAGATTTTGGAAAACATGTTATGTAGGGTAAGATACAGAAAAACTAAGACTTCCAGTGTTTTAAAAATTGGCTACATTTGGCCAGGCGCGGTGGCTCATGCCTGTAATCCCAGTACTTTAGGAAGCCAAGGTGGGGTAGATCACTTGAGGCCAGGAGTTCAAGACCAGCCTGGGAAACATGGCAAAACCTCCACTTTATTGAAAATACAAAAAATTAGCCAGATGTGGTGGCACGCGCCTGCAGTCCCAGCTACTTGGGAAGCTGAGGCACAAGAATTGCTTGAACCCTGGGGTGTGGAGTTTGCAATGAGCCGATATTGTGCCACTGCATTCCAGCCTGGGTGACAGGGTGAGACTCTGTCTCAAAAAAAAAAAAAAAAAAAAAGACTACTTTTAATAACTATGGCATTTTCTGAAATTTATTAATATATTTACTATCATCAAACACGTACTACTGTTATTAATTATATATATCTTTTGTTAAATTCAGTCATTGTAATAATATCCCAGACAATAGCAAAATGCTAAACATTTCCTTATTTGCTTATCTATTCACCTAAATAAGAGCAAATTTACTAGCCTTCTGTTTTACATATGGGGGAAAAACCCATTATTTCTTAAATGCAGGAACTCACGGATTAAATCAATAAAAGAACTGATAGTCTATAATCGTAGATCCCAGAATTTTCCCCTAGATACTATTAGTTCTACTAGGAACTGCTGTGCAATAATGTTTGAATATTATTAAATTATATTATTTATAAAATTATCAGCTTCAAGGAGTGGATTTTTATTGATGTGATTTTTATTAGCTTAGATAATAGTTTTCTGTCTTGTTTTTATGTCTCTTAAGCCAAATTGTATCCCTAAATTAGAATATTCTAGAAAGGAGTCTCTCATGCTGAACAGCTTTCTACTTTTCAGGAGGGCATCTGCCCTTTCTTTACTTTATGCCTATTTGTAGCTTCAGCTCATTGTGGGAGAAACACACAGTCACTCTGTGTTTAAAATAATGCTCATGGCCCGGGGCAGTGGCACATGCCTGCAATCCCAACATTTTGGGAGGCAAAGGTGAGAGGATCCCTTGAGCCCAGGAGTTTGAGACTACCTTGGGCAATATAGTGAGATCCCATCTCTGAAAAAAAATTATAAAAATAAAAAAATTAAAAACAAAGTCATGATCACTAATCTCAAGTGGGCCCTTAGAGCTGTTGGCAATTATACCATTTTTCCCTAATACTTTAATTTTTCTGCTCTGTCCTAGATAACTGTTTCATGCCTTTTATTTTCTTTTTCTTTCTTTCTTTTTTTTTTTTTTGTGACAGAGCCTCATTCTGTCACCCAGACTGAAATGCAATGACATGATCTTGGCTCACTGCAACCTCCACCTCCCAGACTTAAGCGATGCTCATGCTTCAGCTTCCCAAATAGCTGGGGTTACAGGCATTTGTCACCATACCCAGCTAATTTTTGTATTTTTTAGCAGAGACAGTGTTTTGCTATGTTGCCCAGGCTGATCTCAAACTCCTGAGCTCAAGTGATTCACCTGACTTGGCCTCCCAAAGTGCTGGGATTACTGGCGTGAGCCACCATGCTCAGCCTCATGCCTTTTCTATTTTTAAAACTCTAACACGTTCTTTTGCATTCTCATTTTCAGTTTTTATTTTTAAGATCAGGAGAGAATTTCTACAACATCCTATGGCCATAGATCCCTACCCATCTGCCCTGGGGCACTTACACACCACCTTGTCTTCCCTTTGCGTGTTCACAAGATCATGTTATCTCTAGCTTATTCAAAGACATTGCCCTAGCAATCCATCCTTGCCTTCTGTTAAATCAGTTTCTAAGCAACATTTGGAAAGTGCAAAGCCTTACAGGACCATTCTGGCCAAGGCATAGCTACAGTATCTTTCTCATCTGCCTAGTAGACAGTTTCTGTGTATTAGATCATCTCCATAAGTACATACAAGCAGATTTACACTTCTCACCTCACACCTTATAAAAAACAAACAACTCTCCCAGCACCCACTTCTCCTCTCCAGGTACAGCCCCATATTTATCCTTTCCTTTACAATTAAACTTCTTAAGAGAAATTTCTATTCCCACTGTTTCCTACTTCTTCCTCATTTCTCTTGTGACTTCACTCCAATCAATCCAAAATAATCATTGACCTTTCTGGTGTCAAATCTAAAATTTATTTTTCAGGACATATCATATTTGATACAGTTGATTCTTCTACATCACCTTCTTCACTTTGCTTGAAGGACAGCACAGAAATAGAACAAGGCCAAACCCAGAAGTGCTCCTGGGATCCTTTTCCAATTGCTATCATTTTACTTCTCTCCAAGTGAGCCACTATCTAGCTTTTTTATCATTATCACTTTCTTTTTATTATGGCTTTTCCATTTCACCATGGATTTCTAAAAATTATACTTGATATTTGTCTTTTTTTCGGAGCTTTCTATAAGGGATAATGCAAAAGGTGTTATTTTTTGTCAGGCTTCTTATTTTAATCCATATCATATTTATGAGCTATCTCTACATTGAGAAGAGCTATAGGAGCAATTTTAATTGCTTTATACTAGTCCATCACAGGAAAACATCACAATGTATTTATTCTACATTTGGTAGACATGTGCATTTGTCTGGGGCCCAGTTCCTGCACCATTTCAGACTTGTGTTCTAGCCTGGCTTCCTAGCTGAGGTGTCTTAGGAATGTCTTGGGCTCTGTTTTCTAGAAAGCCCAGAAAATCCCTCCCAGGACCAGCTACATAATTCGTGGGGCAAATGCAATAAAAATACAGGGGTCTTTGCTAAAAAAATTATTAAAATTTTTAAAATAATTGCAGTAGAACATTAAGCCAAATGGAGCCCTAAGCTCTGGGCCCTATGTGACCTCACAGGTCATGTGTCCATGAAGCTGACCTTCATTCTTCCCATAACCCCCAATCCTCCAATTCTCCATACCCCTTCCTCAAGTCCTCCACTATTACCTGTTTCTCATGTGTGCTGCTGGAAAATGTCTATCCATCATTTATGTATCCATCTTTCTATCATCTCTATATATGGATAGGTGCTATTTTTATTTTCTATGCCAAACACTAGTCTTCAAAGACGAGGCGCTATTTTTAAGGGGACTGTATTATCCTGGTGAAAAGTACTTGCTGGTATATTAGTGAGGAGGAATTTTTAATGATTAAGCAAGATTATGTCTGTTACACATACTACCATTTGATATATAACAGCTTAACTTGGACAGACCAGAAACATCATCATCTTGGACAAGTCCCTCATTCTAAAGTTCACCTTAATAAAAAACTGCCTGAATCTAAAGGACATCAGCCTAATGAGTAAAGTCAGCACAAACATAAACCACAAATAACATCTCCAACCAGAAACATTCCAAACTCTTCCCTGACCAGAGACACGCTAGCCCCAAGATAATACTCCTCTGGCTGGGAAGATGTCAGCCCCAAGATAACCTCCCCTCCTCCCAGAGAGATTCTAACCCTGCCATAAAACTTCTCCCTCACACAGAAACATTCCAAGTTTGTAATAAGCCCCTTCACCCTAAAACCAATATATATTCTTAGTCTGTAAGAGAAAGCACTCCTGACCAAAATCTGCCAGAAGCCCCTCTCAAGTTTTATCTAAAATAAACATATCTTTACTGTCAAGCGGTGTTTCATGTTTCTTTCTTCTTTCTTTAACGCTTACAAACTGAATTATTTAATATAGTCATCTATAGTTCACCCATGTTGCTGCTTTATTCTTTTAAAATAGTTTATTTGGATGTTTACTAAGTCTTGATTAAGCACCTTTACACACACATGCATCACATACCATTCTTTGACAAGTTTAAGTTCAGTTCTTGGCACAGGTAGGCATCTCATAGAAGGTATTATTCCTGTTTCCCTACCATAAGTCAGTAGCTTTTCCCATCTTTTTCCTTTCCTGTCATTTCACCCTTCCTAGTATTGTCAGATTTTGCATAAATAAAAATTTGAATTTAAAAAAATGTAAAAATTAAAAATTTACATATTAGTGAAAATCGAGAATGCCTAGTTAATTTTGAATTTTCAGATAAAATAATTTTTAGTGTAAGAATGTCCCAAGCAAGGTTTGATATATATAAGTATGTCAAATACTTCCCAAAAGTTGAAAAAACCTATTTGTTGTTTATTTGAAATTCACATTTAACTGAGTGTCCTGTATTTCACTGGCAACCTTACCCTTCCACCACTTTTGATTACAAAGTTTCTGAATACAGGGTTATGCATGCTACACTGTATCTTTACAGTAAAAAGAGCAGTGGTAAGTTCTTAATATGTACTTACAGATTGATGAAAAAGTCTCATGATAAGCATTTCAAACAACAGATATTTCTATATAATTTCCCTTAGGACCTTCTAAGCCCCGATTTTTTATTAATAATTTATGAGCCTATTTATTAATGAGCACTGCCTAGAAGTTTGTAAGGGAAGCTGTACTATAAGGGAACAAACGCTTGGCAATTCTAAGGTATGCCAGCATGGGAAGGCAGTCACGAACAAACCTTTGTGTTTCTGACTTTGTTCCAGAAAATGAATTAATAATGGCCCTATAGAGACAGAGATATTTTTTGCATCACTGTATGGTTTTCTGCTTTCATCTAAGCAAATAATGTAAATTGAATACAACTTTCTTTGTTTTTTCTCCCAGGGTAGTTGTGACCTCTATGATGGGGATCTGATAAAGAAGAGAAACACCTCACAGCAATAATTGGCATGCAGTCACTTAGCCAGTGAGATAAGGGGCCGTAGAAACCATGTGATAATGATGTCTGCTGAGTTCCAGGTGCACATTTGAAGTGGATATAAAGTAAACATTGAGCTGCCCTCAAATTTAGTTAGCAAGCTTTATTATAGAAACAGCTTAAATTAGTTAATTCAGGGAGCTTACTTCATAGAAATTAAAACAATAGTAAGTGCAGTATATTTAGAAATAAAGAACTAGGCTGACCCTTTGACTCTTTGAAACAAGTGGCCTTCCATGCTCTGAAAGATTATAGCCAGCCTTTGAAACATTGGAATGGTGTCCACTGCATTTTATCACGTAACTGTAGGTCAGCCTGGGATATCTGCAGTTTTCTGATCCCCTGTCGCTGTAATTGCTGTGAGAGTTTGTGTCATCACTGTGCTGTCTTCCCCTTCCACATGAAGGTGAGCTGTCTGACTTCAGTTCTAACGTTTGTGATTTCACTCCCAATCTGATTGTTGCTGAGCAATTCCCTTGCTTGGAGAATTCTGTGCTTTGGGTAGAATTTTTAAAGGTTCTTTTCCTGTGGCCAGATTTCTGTTTCTTCCTGTGTCTTACACCATGTTCCCCTACAGAGAAGATTCTTTGATGTTACTGGAAGCTTAGCTTAAAGGGAGATCTACTGCTCTGTGGGGTGGGTGACCATGGGGGAGCGAGCAGACAGCTTCTGGCTTTTGTTTATTTTGTGTGTGATGTACGTGGAAAAATATCATGATTAGCATTTAAAAGTATGTTTGGCATGTTTAAAATAAATTTGAAACTTAATTTATTTTAAAGAATTTATATAAATTTCTCACTTAGTAAAATGAATGACTATTGAGTATTCATGCCAATAAAGCAACTACTTGAATACAACAAAGCATGCATTGTGTATGTTTTTCCCACTGTTTATCTCTATCTATAACCTCCCTACTCATCCATTTCAGATTTTTATATGAATTAAGTGTGGTTCTTGCAGGGAAAGCATCTTTAGAATAAGGATAAGGTATTTAAGAATATATACTTAAAACTTCTCTTCGGAGAGCAAACCCATTGAAAAATGATCCAGAAATAAACATCAGAATGTGTTTGGGAGAAGAGCAACGATTAAGGTTGGTGCATGTGGCATGCAAATAATACATTGATTTAGGTGGACTTTTATTATGGGGGAGAGCTCATCAAGTCTCATATAATGAATTAGTGTCTTCCTTTTTCTTTGGAAATTTTATATTCATTACAATGGGTCTTGGGCATTGGTACTTTGTTATCTCTTCAAATTCATACAATTAAAATGGAACTCATGACTCCTCTTCCTTGGAGATACTAAAAATTCCACACATTTGAAGAAACTGTAACCTTTCTTAATGGGCCCATCTTCTAGCTCAAAAAATCATTCTTAGATGGTGCGTTAACGCCTAGTGTTAGTGCAAGACAGATTGTCAGGGTAATAAATTAAAGGCACCTCAGTGCACCTCTGTTGGCCATTGTTCTACCACAGGCCCATATTAATATTTTATTCCCTTTAATATTATTACATGATGCAGGCTTTATTTAAATGGATTTGACGGGTCTCTTGGTTGGCTTGACAACCAGAGGGAAAAATTAATGTTCTGCATTTAATCTCAGCTCAAGGCGCTAAATTATTTTGGAGGTCAAAACCGTCATGCATATCATGCTAAATTATTGAATGTAATAACTATTAGCTAGTTGTCTATTTATAGGTTTTAAAAATTGTTTACTTCATGCATCTTGAGCTAATTTTAAAGTGAATCCTTCTTTTAGTTTTTTTTCCCTCCTGTATGCCATTATTATCATAGCCTTTGCAATTGTGGTAACAGAACTAATGGAAGATGCCAGGTGCCCTCCTTATAAATGAGATCTAACTGACTAGATATTAATAAATTGCCGAGAGCATTTCTCCTTACGTTGGTTCCATCTTCATGTGAAGTTCAAGTATGTTAAAATGGTGACTTTGTTATAGTAGAAGCTATTATCTTATTTAAAACAAAAACCACGTTTTGCCAAAAAAAAAATATTGACTACTAAAATAATACAGTAAACCATATTCTAATTATTTGAAGAATAATTGAAACAACATTTAAAAAAAGATGCTGTTGGATTCCTTTTTAAGAAATGATTTGATGGAAGGTATGATCAATGAAATGTAAAATAATGTATTTATTATTACAGTGAAAATAAGTCACATATCTTTGTCCTTTGGTACGATCTTAACAGTGAATCAATGTCAACAGTATTATGAAATATTTAGGCTATATAAGGGTATAATTCTGAATTCTTGGACATTTGTGTAATGACTTGTAAGAAACTGTGGCTTGAGAGTCGGCTCTTGTGTTTTTATATATAAGAAAGGTGGTGAGGGGAAGTTTGAAGACACCTATTGTCTTGTACAGTTTCTGCCTCCTCTGGATTTTATCTTAACTAGAGCAAGCACTTCCTATGCATGAGGCTTTCTGGGGTTAAGCAGTTTTAACCACATTACTTAAAGTAACATCAGTCATGGCCAACGGGCTATGATGAAAAAAGAGCTTCAAACAAGAAGATGATTTTTCTTCCTGGTAATGAATGGTGATGGGCCAAAAAAAAAAAAAAAAAAAACCTCCAGTGCTTTCCAGGGAGGGGTAACAGCTTCTCTGCATAAGCAGAGTGAGCACTTGACAAGACTGGCTATGGTGTACAAGCTGGATCTTATAGAAAGCGCTGAAACAGCACTCTTTATGCCATCTTTCTCTCTGTCTTTCCTACCTTGCTTATAAATTACTCCATTCATCTAAATGAGAGCTTTTGGATGGCAGTTAGTTTGGAAATGGTGGGTCTGTCTAGTGACTCAGGATAGCTTCTTGGTGGTATCTAGTTACGCAAAGATAGATGCCGGTGGCATCTAACAAACAAGGACTAGGTGACTTAGGACTCCTTACTCCCTGTCCTCATCAGCCACTGAGATAAATCAAAGGACTAAAAACCAGGTAATAGGCAGGCAGTTTTAACTTCCCTACAAGGTATCTGATGTCCTGACAGTAAACATCTAGGACCCATGCTGTGATAATGTCATTGGAGAAGATACGCTTCCTTTTCTTTCTCTTCATCTAGTGACTCAATTATTGCAAGAACAAAGCAAAACAAAAACAAGGTCGACTAGTACTTGCGATGTTGGGGAAATGGGAATACAGAGTTGGATAAGACTTTGTTGCCTCCCTTGAGGAGCTCCTAGGCTACTGCCTTACTTAGGTCGTTGATGTGGTATGTGTGGCTCTCTCAGAGGAGTCCTTGGAGAAAGCATCAAAGGCAGCCAAACTAGGGAAACTAGGGAAAGCTGTGTGGAGCAGAACAGTGAGCCACTACGGAGATAAGACTTCATGACCCAGGACAGGAAAGACAGAAGAGATAGAAGGATGCGTATCTCATCTTGGGACAGAGAGAGGCAACATTCAGGGTGCTGAGATGAGGATTAAAGAGGAGGGAAGCACTTGGTGAATTGGAAGTAGATAAGTCTTTTGGTTTGTTTATCTTTTTGGGTTTATGAGTTTCTGAGACCTAAGTATTTTCATAGATGACATTCCTGAGTTGGATGTTTTGGCTTCTTTAAGATCTGTATCTGTATCTATCTGTATAGATATATGTATAAAGATACTCCTGGCTCTCCATATCTCTTATTTAAAACTGGACACACTTTATGCTTAGACAGACTTTTAGGCTCATAAGAGCTGGGGTGAAATAAAGAAAAAAAGAAGAATTTGATATAGGGCCTAGCTCACTGCAGTCTCAAACTCCTGGGCTCAAGTAATCCTCTTGCCACAGTCTCCAAGTAGCTAGGACTACAGTTACATGTCACCACGCTGGCTAATTCTTAAATATTTTTGTAGAGTTGGGGTCTTGCTATGGTACTCAAGCTAGTCCTGAACTCCTGGCCTCAAGAAATCCTCTTGCCTCAGCCTTCCAACAGAGTTTTCTTTAAGTGTTTCATGCTACTATGCTTAACATCTGTACTCTCCAGAGGAAGAATAATCTTATTAAATTTTAGTGGAAAATAAATAAGCAGAGGAAAACACATTTAATTCTGTGACTAATGGCAGCTTGTAAGAAATCATTTTGTAGATTTTAGAAAAGTTCTGCCTTTAAAAATGTTCTTTAGGCTGGGTGCAGTGGCTCACACCTGTAATCCCAGCACTTTGGAAGGGAGAAGTGGGTGGATTACAAGATCAAGGGATGGAGACCATCCTGGCCAACATGGTCAAACACCACCCTCTACTAAAAATACAAAAATAGCTGGGGGTGGTGGCGTACACCTGTAGTTCCAGCTACTTGGGAGGCTGAGGCAGGAGAATCACTTGAACCTGGGAGGCGGAGGTTGCAGTGAGCTGATGTGATGCCACTGCACTCCAGCCTGGCAACAGAGTGAGACTCCATCTCAAAAAAACAAAAATGTACATTAAAAAGCAACACGCTCTCCCTCTGCAATTAGGAAACATGTCACAACATTTTTTTGAGCCAAAACTTTATAAAAATAAAAAAGCTTTATAAAAATAAAGAAATTACTTTGAAAAACTGGTATTATTAAACAATGCTGCCCGTAATCCTGCTATCAGCCTGAGATGCTTGGACTTCAATAGATAAAAAAGTAGAGATGCTAAGCATTTTCTGTTATTTCTAGAAAAGCTCATTAGTAAATTACGGAGTGACAATCTCTGGCTAGAAAAATAGAGCAACCCTTGTTTCAACTACTAAATTCTTTTAGTAGTCATGAAGCGGTAACTGGCATATTAAATAATTGGGGTCCATGAACAGAATTCAGAGTTCCAGCAGGCATCTTTGAAGAAAAGTAAAAGATTTACTTGAAATAGGATAAAAGCTGTCACAATTAGATTAGCCAAATTTGATAACAGCTCAGGGTGAGTGGGAGAAATATCATTTGCAGTGTGTATGGATATGTGTTACTTGTTGGATATGGAATAATTAGGTTAATTGGATGTACTGAACTTGGTAGAGTATAATTTGGAAAACAGGTTTATTTTTCTGTCTCTACTGCTTTTGTGGATGTCCCACTGTCATTTCTGGGTGAGATCTTGTATGAAACACATAGCTTTAAATTCCTTTATCAATTTAAAAATGCCCAGTCTATTCTAAATCAGAACTTTGTTTTCTTAAGCTCCTCTACCCATCTCTCTCATCTGAGAAAAGTAAAGTCTAGTCCACTTCCATAAGCTCCTGTTTTCACATACCCTCTCCTCTGCCCTTTGTCTCTGGCTTCTCCAAGTAGGGTTGAGGTGCAGGGACGGGGAGAGAAAAGACAAGAGAAACTGTGGCAAAGCCCATTTTGCTTACCTGGTTCTTGGTCTGGTGTTCCTAGCTCTCTCTTAATTTTTTTGCTTTTTTTTGAGACAGAGACTCACTCTGTCACCCAGGCTGGAGTGCAGTGGTGTGATCTCGGCTCACTGTAACCTCCGCCTCCCGGGTTCAAGTGATTCTCCTGCCTCAGCCTCCTGAGTAGCTGGGATTACAGGTGTGCACCAGTAATTTTTGTCTTTTTAGTAGAGATGGGGGTTTTATCATGTTGGCCAGGCTGGTCTCGAACTCCTAACCTTGTGATCTGCCCACCGTGGCCTCCCGAAGTGCTGGGACTACAGGCATGAACCACTGTGCCCAGCCTACTCTCTTAATTTTCAAGCGAGCTTTGTCATACGCAGTCTTCTCTCATGGCTGTAACAGTGGTCTCCCGGGTATGCAAAAGAAATTTCCACCCTTTTTAATTTCCTCCCTGTATAAGGGAGGGTAAAGATTAGACTGCTGCAACAAAGAGAACAAACACACAGTAGCTTAAATCATGCATCCTTAGTGGTAGTGAAAATTGGTTCTTGGAT